AGAGCAACAACAAAAGCATGTTGCTGGAAATGGGTTTATTATTGAAAATGCAAACTGATTGTCTGCCAGCAGGAGGCGCTGTGAAAGCGGTGGAACTAACGGCTTCTCCAGTAATGGCTGTAAACAAAGCAGCTCCTCATGAACGCTACTTTATCAGATAAAAATGCCATCTAAACTTGTGCAGTGCAGTGCTCATGTTTATTCAACGAAGTCAAACGCCACAAATAAATCAATGTATGGGAAACACTGGTAATGTATATCGAAATATTGGAAATGTGTTTAAAAATCATATCACCGTTATTGAAAAAAATTATATCGCGATACATATTGATATTGAATTATTGTAAAGCCCTATATGAACATAAGCTAAAAGCACTCTACCTTAGGGCTGTCACGATTATGAAATTTAGGTGATGATTAATTGTCTAAAAATAGTCATTGTTCTTGCGATTAATTGTCTGTTTTAGGGCTTTGGCGATTATGACGATTAATTGTATGTTTTTTATGGCTTTCATTATATAATTGTGATTAATTTAAGTGTTTAGTAAATAATGATGATGTTATCTTTTAATCTTTTTTGAGTTATTATTTTGCAGTGCAAGATTACATAGAGAATTCCAAATTCTAAGAATTGACCAATACCGATCCAACACCAGCGCTATTTATTTTTATTTTTTTACACCACTATAGAATATCAATACTGTGTTTGTGGAACTAATGGTCACTCTTTTTTAAAACCCTTTGTTAAACATAATCCACTAAATACTCACTTTCTCATTACAGAGAAAAACTAAATTTGAATAAAAATATATAAACTATGAAATTAAACTAGCTGATTGTACAATTTAGCAGCAGAAACAATATCTTGAAAAAAAAATCTTTGGTGCACATTATACAATTTAAACATGTTTATTCTGTTAACTATTTGTATTCTTACAAAATACATTCATGAAAAATAAAAGCTTCTAATAATCTTTCTGTGTGCAAAACTTTGATAATGTGAAATGCTTCAAACAGAGTGGCACAAAGCTCTTATGCACATCTAAGGTGCAGAATGATGTGCTTGAACCAATGTTGTCACACCGTAACCAAAGTCACAGCATAAGTCACCACTGAAAAGAATAAGGGGAGGATATTCATTTTAACTGAATTGATTCTCCCAGCCAAAGACAGGGGAAGCAGTAACCAGCACTCTAAATCTTTCTCCATTTGGAGTAGCAAATGAGCAAAGTTAAATTTAAAGAGCTCTTTAAATTTATCCATGATGGAAACTCCAAGATACGTAAATCTATGCTGTGCAATCCTAAATGTTATGTAACGGGTAGTTCCTAGCTGCAGAATGTAGTGGAAAAATCTCACTCTTGCTCAGATTTAACTTATAACCAATCAGCCCAAATGACTTTGTCAAAGCAAAATTGACACTGCAACTAACTAAAATATTCTTTACTGAATCTATGCTCAACTAAACCAAATCAGAATCAAACTGGGACCTTGCCAAATCAAATGGATAAAATTAGTCGTTCACAAGCTACTGTCTTTCACTGACAAGCAGTTTGCAAGTTTCGTTTCTTACAATGGATATAGGTAAATATCCACCTCATCCAAACCTTTCTGTTTTCTGTCTATAAAGTTTCCTGTTACAGTGTGAAAAACCCAGATAGAGATATACAGATAGAGTTTCAGTATGTTTCCATATTTTCCTGTAAAAAGGATGTGTGACAGTTACAGTAATGAGTGCTTCTATTTTTGTAGGACACAGAGATGACCACCTGGTGGAGGCAGGCTAAGGTTTTTGTCGGAGGAGCAAGAGAGGGAGCTTGTAAACATGGTCATTGCCAATAATGTATTCCGCCTGCGAGAGATTCAAAGGAGAGTGATTGAGGATAATCATCATTTTCGAGGGATAAATGCCATCAGCCTCTCCACAATTGATCTTATCCTCCGAAAGCACCAGTTCCGGATGAAACAGGCGTACCGCATCCCTTTCGAATGAAACTCTGACAGAGTGAAAGACCAAAGAGTGGAATATGTTCAGGTATGAGAGTATTGTGTACCATCACAGTATAGCAGTTTATGCTGCCATTTGTGCCCTCTTGAACTGTGCTTCAGGGCAGTGATTTACTCTACTGTGTTTCATGTGTTTTGCAGAGAATCTTTGAGATTGAAGGCCGGCCTGTTCCCCATGAAATTATCTTTGTGGATGAGGCTGGTTTCAACCTGACCAAAAGATGGAGAAGGGGGAGGAACCTAATTGGCCATCGGGCTATTGTAAATGTCCCTGGTCAGCGCGGAGGGAATGTCACTATGTGTGCAGCCATCAGCCAACGAGGGGTACTCCACCGTCATGCCATTCTAGGACCCTATAACACTATGCTCCTCCTTGCTTTCCTTGACGGTCTAAGAGAGCATATGTTCCAGCTGGACCTCAGGGAACCAGCACAGCCAGAGAAGCCTCGTTACATTGTTGTTTGGGATAATGTCAGCTTCCATCGCGCGTGACTGGTTTACCAATAACCCAAGGTTTTCTAACATCTTTCTGCCTGCATACTCTCCCTTTCTAAACCTGATAGAGGAGTTTTTTTCAGCATGGCGATGGAAAGTGTATGACCGAGAACCTTATATCCGTGTTCACCTCCTCCAGGTCATGGAAGAAGCCTGCCTAGACATATCAGTAGATGCATGCCAGGGGTGGATCAGGCATGCAAGCAGATTTTACCCTCGCTGCCTGGCTAGGGCCAATATAGCCTGTGATGTGGACGAGATTCTCTGAACAAGGACGGGATGCTGAGGCGGAATTTTTTTTTTGTTATGAAATTTTGTTTTATTTATTTTTTTACACAGTTTTGCTGTGTAGTACATGAATGAATAAAAATGTGCCAATGTATACATTGGTTGTGTCTTTTGTGTTCATGTGAAAAGGTTTTTGAGGGGGAGAACCACAAGCAACATAACTTACCAGTTTTGGATACATTGTTTTGAATTGATTGCACCAGTGTGTAATACTATGTTGTAGTGTGTGTGTTTTTGAAAGCTTGTGTGTGATGT